TTGGGAGTAAGGCCACAGATGGACGATGAATGGCTCCTAGCAGAGGAATTAAAAGAAGAGCAAAAGGGGAGTGAAGTTTGCAGGAGACAGTTTGCTTAATTGGTTTGTGACTCTTCGAGGCTCCTTGCCAAGTTTTGCAGATATTGGCCTGGCAGCTCTCCAAGCCAGATAAGGTCTGTGATTGTAAATCCTCTTTTGAAAGACTTTGTTGGATGTGAATGAGCAGAATTCACAATAAATTAATAAAAGGGTTTTTTTATCGGGACAAGAAGTTTGCTTCATGCTCTTGGGAAGCCTCAGTCAAAACACTTTTTATGTGCGTTGCATGTTTTAATATGTTCCGCAAATAAAAATCACCTGCAGTGAAGCAAAAACAAACATCAAAACTGGTAAAAGTCAAGGTAAACTCACTGCGGTCAGGGTTCTTTTTTAAAAAATGAGGAGAAAGAAAAGAATCATTATGGTGGGGAAGACATACAAAGTAAATGTCAGAAGAGGTTCATCCGGAGATATGGGCATCAAGTATTTTGCAGGTGTTAGTACCTGATTGATGGTGCTGTATTGAATTTGAAGGCGGTCACACACATGCCTGAATTAAAGCAGAACAATGGCTTCTGCCTTGTCTTGGCTATAAGTTCAATTGTCACATGAGAGTTGACAATTATATACAAGCAATCATATACAAACCAGACCCAGGGGTTATTTTTCTCTGGTGGTAGCTCTAGATTCTAGAACCATGATGGCAAACCTATGGCACACGTGCCATTGCCCAGCTCAGCTCCACTGTTCATGTGTGCCCGCCTCCCTCTGGCAGCTCATTTCCGAGTGTCTGCTGTGCATGTAGGAGATGCGCGTGAATGCGTGGGGGGGGAGTGTTGCATATGCATGCAGGAAGGTGAGGGAATGCAGGGGGGTGCAGTGCCCCCCCGCACCCCATTTTTGGTCCCAGGAGGCTTTAGGGAGGCCTGCTAGACCCAGAATGGCGGGGGGCGCACATGCAGGCGGGAGCGTGGGGGGGGGTCATACGTGGGGCACATTGCATTATGGGTGTGGGCAATTTCAGCATGCGAGGAGAAAAAGGTTAGTCATCACTGCTCTAGAAGGTACTTGTGGTGAAAATCTGTGGGTTCAACCTCAGGTTGATTGTAGTTTCCATTGCAACATTATTTTAACAATCCTTTTCTATCAACGTATTGTGAGTTCTGTTTTATTGCACCCTTTTTTCTACTTTTTCTACTTTTTTTTGTCATCCTTATTAGGGGCTCTGTAACCCCAAAGCAGGAAAGAGACACACTGCAGTGGTAGGATCAGAATGAAGTTTAACATCTGGATTGGAGCACGTAGCTATAAATTGGAAGGCAGCAGTTGCAAACTCATGACCTGCAATTTCCACTTTTGCTTTGCAGGTGGTCCATAGAGACTTGAAACCTAGCAACATCCTCTACGTAGATGAGTCCGGCAACCCAGAATGTATTCGTATTTGTGATTTTGGGTTCGCCAAGCAACTGAGGGCAGATAATGGGCTCCTCATGACCCCTTGCTATACTGCCAACTTTGTTGCTCCAGAGGTAAGCAGCTCATAAACCGGGGTTTGTTGGGGTCGAATTCCCAACATACTTTTGTTACGTTGATTTCATTCATTTCAGGGAAAACTCTGTAATCACTTTCTCCAACCAACTGGGATGAATGGAAGACCTGATTTGATATGTTTTGTGCCTGAAAAGGTTTGTAGCATAATGCGCTACAATCGAATCAGGTGCAACGGTTGTTTGAACACTTGCCTTCTGTCCCCAAACTGAAAATAAAGCCTACTTCTGCTCTTAGCCATAGCAATAAGACTTATACACCACTTCACAGGGCTTTACAGCCCTTTCTAAGCGGTTTACAGAGTCAGCATATTGACCCAACAATTTTGGGACCTCATTTTACCCACCTTGGAAAGATGGAAGGCTGAGTCAACCTTGAGCTTGGTGACATTCGAACTGCTGGCAGTTGGCAGTCAGCAGAAGTAGCCTGCAGTACTGCATTCTAACCGCTGCGCCACCATGGCTCTTAGCTGAATCCTCTGAAGTCCCTGAGTTATGTTCCTCCTGCAGATTTTTCACAGGTCATCATATTAGCATGTTTGGGTTGGGGATACAGGCCAACATGGAAACTGGATCTTTTCTCCTCCTGTTCCTAATTGCATCTGAATTTTAGTAACTATCACAAATTCTCATGGCTTCCTTTCTTGCACTTTCTTGGGGTCCTCCCCAAGAAAGTGCAAGAAAGCCAGAATATACCTGGAATTCCGAATGCTGCCCTTGTTTTATCTGATAGGCCTGGGGGATCCTTTTGAGGTAGTCTTCGCCCCCATCAAGCGGATTCCTTCCAGATTGTTTGGGAGGGTTATACCATGATCATTCTGTACTGAGGGGATGTACTCCATATCTCTGGAGAAGAGTTGATAGGAGAATGTTGAAAGGGGAGATGTAAGAGCCAAGGTGGCACAGTGGTTAGAATGCAGTCCTGCAGGCTACTTCTGCTGACTGCTGACTGCCTGCAATTTGGCGGTACAAATCTTACCAGGTTCAAGGTTAACTCAGCCTTCCATCCTTCCAAGGTGGGTAAAATGAGGACCCAGATTGTTGGGGCAAGAGGCTGACTCTGTAAACCGCTTAGAGAGGGCTGTAAAAGCACTATGGAGTGGTATATAAGTCTAAGTGCTATTCCTTCCTTCCCTTCCCTCCCTCCCAGCGGTTAGAATACAGTATTTCAGGCTGCTCACTGCCAGGAGTTCGACTCTGACCGGTTCAAGGTTGACTCAGCCCTCCATCCTTCCGAGGTCAGTCAAATGAGGACCCAGATTGTTGGGGGCACTAGACTGACTCTGTAAACTGCTTAGAGTGGGCTGTAAAAGCACTATGAAGCAGTAGTAAGTGCTAATGCTAGGAGGCAAGAATGGGACATTCTGCAGTTGCAAAGAGGACTTTTTTTGTATGGAGTGAAGCATCTCCCACTTTATCCTAGGAAAAAACCATCTTTGTTGTTGCAAGCTGAAGTCGTCGGGAATAGAGTTCCCCAACCTTTCTGGCATTGCAGCCCGGCCAGGGAGGGGGAAAAAAAGGATGGGTGTGCCACAAAACAAAAAAAAAAGGGTGCAACAGAACCCAATTTTCTTT